GTTGTTTCATATTTTAAATTAGATGTCACATTTCCGTAAGTTTATATTGCATAGAATCATAGATATGTATGTGTGCCAAAATATGAACGGAGAAGATAAAGCCAAACAGTAAGAAGATTCAATTTAATGGAAAATGATCAAAGTATGTGAAAGCCTTTGAAAAGAGAGAGAAGGATCATGTGAATCTAATACTCTTTCATGTAAAATCCCTTTCAATCTTTACTCTCACTCTCCTATATATCTTCACTTCATTCTCGACTCTACGTTTTACACTCATCATCACTTGACTACATTTTCTTCCATTCAAAAGAGTTTCTATATGAAAACCTAAAATATACACTTCAGTTTTTCCGAATGATGAAATCGATATCTTTATTCGCGATTCTTCTTCTCCATCTCTTTATTAGTAGTAATAGTCTCCGATTGGATCTCTTCAACTGTGAGTACTACTATTTGCCATTGATATGATTCATGATTAGAGAGATAATATATGATCTAGATAAATATTTGATTCCCTTACTTCTTTTGTTGCGAGGTTCTAGATGTAGCAAGCGGGTCAACCATACCGGATTGTTCGCACGCGTGTGGACCATGTAGACCATGCAAGCTCGTTGTGATCACTTCCAAATGCTCCGGCTCCGAGGCTTGCCCTGTCGTCTACAAGTGCTTGTGCAAAGGCAAATACTATCACGTGCCTTCCATCGCCTAGCCCGTCCTCACGTCACGTGACCACTTTTTTTTTACATTTTAAGACAGAACTCATACAACTCGAGAGATGTTGTCAGTTGTTACTTTCCCAAGTTATTGTCTCGATGTAGCATGTGGTTGATTTGTAGTGTTTGTAATAAAACAAATCCGGTAATTTAACTTTTTCAACAACATATGTATATACGAGTTTGAACCCATGGCGACACAGTAGCAACATTAACACAAGTCACATTAGGTCATTTAACATAGAAACGAAAACTGAATAAACTCGGAAAAAGAAGAAGATAGTATTATATTATTGGTTTGTAAAGCACTGAGCCCGAATACAAAATTTGACAAGTAATGAATGTAAGATCGTTTGAACAGCAATCAGAAGATAAGGCTGCTAATGTCTCCTGAGGTTGAACATTAATGGGAAAAGAGCGGCGTAGAACAAACTAATACTACTCCTAAGAGAAGGGGTCAGATTTGAATTAAAGCTCTGTTTCAATTTCGTTGAAGTTCCAGTCTCTGACAAAGTCTCTTCTTACTGCACGGCTTCGCACTAACCGTGGCGAGGCTCCTTCTGTTATTAGATTACCTGCCTGGAAATTGGGTTGTGGTGTTACCTTTGAGGATGATGCAGGGAAAGTGTTTGATCTTGCAGCTTGGATAAGGGATTTCCTTGTGAGGCAGCTTGCAATCACGGAGCATCTTCCTTCATTGTCTGAGCTAGAAACAGAGTAGCTTCTAAACGAGTGGGATGGGCTCTCTACACTGTGGCACACGAGGCACGCAAAGCTCATTTTTTTTTGCCTCAGTGAGTATCTCGTATGCGGTTTTTGAGTCACTAGAATACTTTCTTCTAAGGACCCCTGCATTTTCACAAAAGCCAAAAACGTTTCAGCAACATAAGATGGAATATAAGATTACGTCTGCCGCTGTGGAACAAGAACTTAAAAAGGACCACCTAAGTCAGTAAAGTAAATCCCTCTAGAGACTAGATCCATTACAAGCTTTATTATAATAAGCAAAATCTGATCCAATTCAAACAGCGCTCTTGACGAGACTGGATCAATAAGATGATGAAAAATCTCTTCTTGAGTAACCACTATAAAGTAAAGTAAGGGAAAACAAGACAAAGCTCATTACTTTCTAGCAGTTCCCAGAACAATCATGACTTATATAACAGCTATTCTCATACCATCAATCAGAAATGTACAAAACCAGACTCATGTAGACAACATTTTATAGACCAGACTCCAATTTAACAGAAAAAGGAGGCCAAAATGAGGCACATATGAAATGGAAAGGATCATCACATTACACAATCCATAGAATTCCTTTGAATGACAAACTGAGAGAAGAATTCAAGCGAATACACCATGATACCTCACCAAAAAAAAAAAAAAAACCCAATTTTTAGCTTACCCTAGACCAAGGTCCATGCTAAAAAGCACATAAGGTTCTTAAAACTAAACCCTCGACGCAGCGTATCTGTACCCTCTACTACCAAATCCAAACCTAGATATACAAAATTCCGCTAAAATCCATCAAGCGGTGACGAAATTGAAAGATCCATAAGAATCCAATTCAAAATTGGGCGTTAGAGAGAGAGAGTTGAGATCTGGAGAAGTAAACTTTACCCTCGAAGGATTCTCGAATTGGAATATTGGTATCCGAAGAAGAAGCTTCGTGGCGATGATTGATTTTACTTTAACTTGAGGATCTACAAAGAAAGGAAAAATAAAAGCCAAAGGCGAAACACTCGCGGCCGCTTTGGAAGAGGTTTATAGCTATGTTTACTGCGCGCGTCGCCACGCGCCGCCACAAGATAGATTTCCCGCGTGCGAGGATGACACGACAATTTTAACCGCTTTTCCAATTTACTATTTACCAGAGAAACTCCGTTGGTTAAGTCTTTTAATTAATTAAACCATTAGACCAGTCTTCAGTTCCACAACCAAATCAAACCGGTTCGTCTTATAACAACAATCTTGCATCAGCAAATTCATTTGCTTCTTTAATCAAAGCATTTTTTTCACAGAAAAGGTAACCAAACAACTTTTAATCAAATCTGGAAATTTACAGAAATCGAAAAACCTTAATTTTTTTGACATTGTTTTCCATAAGAAACACTACAAGATAATCCACACCGATTTCTCCGCGAAGATTGATACAATTGCGTTAATGCATTTTCCTCTTTATCCCTTCCTTCCTATGCAGAAGAGAAGACCACGCGGCAATGTAGCATTCAGCTGGATCATAAGATAGAGAAAGACAAGAGTAGTGTAAACAGATTTATTACACTAAACCCATACACTCAGTTTTGCTTGTTTCGATTGCGTGTACCTTTTAATGAACACGTTCAAGCACTTGTTCCCGCGGTCAGATCTACTAATTCATCAACAATAGCGTTGTAGCAAAACAAGTATTGATCCTTCAAGAAAAGATTAAGAGTTGAACAAGTCAGAACGACCATGGTTTACAACACAATAATTATGTGGTGAGGAAATTAGAAGATTTACCATGGTTTGAACCATGCCAATGCGTTGGCTGCGGAATATTGCTACGGTTTTAGCAAGGTCCAATGCAGACATATCCCCAGCAAGAATTCTCTGGATTGTGTTATGTATCGCACAGTATGTTCCGGTTCTTCCTATACCTGCACTGAAAGATACAAACGATTCTCTCAGGATACTTTGAACGAGACTTGCATATAGACACACTTTTTGACATGCATCGTACCTGCAGTGCACAATGATTGGGCCAAGGCTAGGCGGTACTTGATACAGTCTTTTTAGAATTTCACGGACAGCCACAGTATCCCTGGGAACACCGTGATCAGGCCATTCAGGATACTGAATATGCAAAACAGACATGGGCTGGTCCTCCGACTGAAACACAACACCACACAGTTCTATTTTTAGGTGAAACATATCGGAAAGAGAGAAATTTTGATCCAATAGAAAGGAACAGTAGCAAACTGATACAAGATTCTTACCTCCTTGTACTTAGCTTCAAGATTCCGCAACAATAATGAAGTATCAGTAGACTTTATCCATTTTGTCATAATAGATATGTTGCCAAACTCTCTAGGTCCATCTTCGGCTTGAAAATAGTCCCCACATTTAACAGTCTGAAACAAGAAGTCTAGATAAGTTAGTATGAAAAGACAAAGCAGATAAGTTCATAATCAACATCCCCAAGATAGTTATCTATAGTCACCACTGTTTACGGAACATTCAAAACTTGCTAACAAGTAACGCAAAGAGGGTTAATATATGAGAATTGGTGACATCAACTGGCATCAAACCTAAAATTACTACAACCGGGGAAAGCAATTACTATCAGTGATCCCGGAGAAGATAACATCGGTGTTCATATCATGTGTCACTAGAAACCTCCTCACGAACTAAAACTTTTAAGACCAAGTTCATCATTCATACAACAAATAAGATAAGAGATATTCCTGTTTTGTCTAGCAAGCAACAGAACACTAAAGAAAAAGTGTCGTACACACAAGCAAGAGAAAGAAGTTAGAAACCCTTGTTGTTAATGCAACGCAAGTACCTTAAAATTGTCGACCAATCGAGTTAGCATCACTATGACTGGGCAATGCTGCTGAATTACCATCTCCCAGAAGTCCTCCAACGTGTGTGGAAGAGGACCTTGCGTAGCTATGAACTGAGAAATACTCTCAGAAGACGACGAAGTCTACAAAAACATAACCCATTCTAAAAACCTTCAAAAATCAATCACCAGAAAGAAAAAAACAAAGGAAAATAACTCATAAGAAGTTTTACCTTAATGAAGCTTGCGTTCACATACCCCTTTGAAGATGATCTATAGTCTTTACATGGATTCAGAACAACCCTATTCTTGTCAACTAAATCCAAAACAGAAGCAAAATATGCAATCCGATTACAATCTTACACTATGTAGAAAAAATCGCAAAAAGGAAAGGAAATTTACATGGCAGAACATCTGTGTATCTGTTTTTCTCCGAATTGACACTGTTCATAGCCACTGTACAGTTTAGCTGCATCTCCGATGGCCACATCCTATTAGCCTGCGTTCGAGGACAGTTTATTAAACATGGATCATCAGACTCAATTTGATTACCAGGAAGAAGAGGAAACTCTCAATTTCTTCAGTAGCCGAGCAGGAAAACAACAAAAAACGCGACTAAAAAGATGGATCTATAACCTGCAAATTGGCAAACTCCCGAGCGATCGAGTCAGGATTTTGGATCTTTTCCCGGAAAATCTGGAGAGCTCGGTGGCAGTGGTTGAGCTGATCGGACGAGAGAGAAAGTTTTGGAGGAGACGCATCAGCAGCGGATGAGAAATCGAAACGGTTCGAGTCATGGGAGACGGTGGAAAGATTTGCGGCGGGAGGAGTCTTCCCGGAGTTAGAGGTTGCCATGACCGATTTCCGGTGGGATCTAGCGCGACGGCAAGAACTGAGATTCCCCGTCGCGTGAGGCGGAGAGAATCGACTTTTTCTGGTTAATTTGAAGTTTTTGATTGGCTCCTCTCTTCTCTCTCCGTAGATAAAGGGAAAGGTTCGAAATTACCAATTTGAGATTAGGGTTTTGATTGGTTACTTCGATTGGAATAATGAAGTAGGTTTGTTCCAACCAAAGTTGAGAGTACATAGTCAAACGACATGTTTGTGAACCGCTTAAAAATATTGAACTTTTTTTTTAAGTATACGTACAATATAGTATATAATTTTATTATGAAATATTTAAAAAATCAATAAATTTTAAAACTATTATTTCTATTTTTGGTAAATAACATTTATTATTCAACAAGTTGTAACCAATCATAACTATTTTTTAACCTTTTCATTCAATTTAACCATATTTTCTATTCCGTCATTTCCAACTGCTTTCTGTTTAATAACTTTTTCACAACCGCTCAAACATTATTTGAATATGGTAACCAATCCGACTATGTCATTTAGT